AGAAATACACTGCAAGGTTTGAAAGAAAATGATGTATGAAGTAGGGTTCTCTCAGCTGCAACCAAGAGAAACCCACTCTAGGTAGTTAAACAAAAAAGGAATATGTTAAAGGATACGGTTGACTCATAGAATCTCCAGGAGGGTCAGAGGACCAGGCTGAGAGGCTACACAGCCAGGACCAACACCGCAGGTGTCGCACAGTGCACCTCCAGTGGACAGCCTGATGCTGCCACTGGGCACAGATAACCACAGTCGCGTTGTTGTGGCTGGGATCACTGCTAGACCTTCTGTCACAGCTGGCCCTAGAAGCAGGATTTATCTGTCTCCACTCTCTCAAAATAGATTCCTGGGGTACCTGCCTCCTCAGTCACTATCTTACCATGCTGCGTCTGGTGCTAGGGCACCAATTTGGAAGAGCCCAGGGCATGTGCCTGGGCCCCAGCTGCAAAGAAGGATGGGAAAGCATGTTCTTGACTTTTGCCATGGGAAAAATTCCCTGGAGGGAGAGTATTCAAAGAAACAACAGTGCACATGTTAAAGGCTAATTGTATAACTCTGAACTTGCATTTCATTAATGGACCACATCTCGCATGTCACACTATGAATTAATAGGGTAAAAAAAAGTAAGTATTTTACAAAGTGTGTAATGGTATTGCCTTTTATCTTCATGCTTAAAAGTGTTGATTAACTAAAATATTGAAGACTACCACAATTTTTGTAACCTTATGGCAAGGTGGCAAATATACTGAGATTCTCAAAAAATTAAGTGATTGTCACCTCTCAGAGGTTCATTCAGTAATTAACTATAAGACCTTGGGCGAACACCTACATAGCTCTAGTTCAGCTTTATTATGTAAAGCAGGGCAGTAATACTGATCTGCATACTTAATAGTGTTGATAAGTGTGGGTATTGTTAAGTACTGATACGTATGGAAGAACAACTATTTCGTGTAACATGATAGGATGCAACCAAGAATAATAATTATAACAGTTTTACATACTCATTTATTTTGTTTATTTACTTTGTTTGTTTATTTGTTTATTTCTAATTAACTTGTACAGCTTGCCAGAAATGTTAGGTACCAAACAGAACCTTGGAACTGAATGCTTATACCTCATTTAATTCAGTGTCTCTTTCCAAAACACAGTCATGTCCCAGAGGACAGTGGAGTCAGAAAATAAAACCAACCTGACAGTAACAGGAAGAGAATTATGCGATTCTTTTGTTTATTTCATAAACGTTTAGTAGGCACCTACCGTATGCTGCAGATAAAACTGCATGGTCTTCCTCTTAAAGTGTGTACCACATAGGGAAGAGGGAATTTGTTACAAGATCGTTACAATCTGTTCAGACAGTGTTAAACCATAGAGGAAAGATGCTGAATTCTGCCCTGAGTCATCAGCATCTACTTCCAGGGATGAAGACTGGAGAAGGGAGAAGAGCCGAAGTGAGGAGGGCATTCTGGGTAAAGAGAACTGCATGTGCAGTTCAGACGTGTGAAAGCTCCTGAAGAATTGGAGAATTACAGCTTTGGCTGGAAGGAAGAAGTTGGGTGAGGAATGACACACTGTCACACACCTTCAAATATGAAACTGGAAGCACATTCTTTTTGCTGCTGGTGATAATGCCTAGAATTTACATTTTGTGTTAATTTGACCTCATTTACATAATGCCTTATTATAAAGAATTACTTAGATGCTGCCTAATTGCCTTCTTTCTCTTGCTAACCCCAAAGGTCTGAAAGTCAAGGTAACAACTTTTATTTGGCATGAGGCAGAGAAATTAATTTGCTATTTTGCTATGTCAACCTCGTTTTAAAACCACAGTTTAAATCATAGAAGCAATATAAAAAGAACTCTGAAGATAATTATCCATATTCATTTCTCTCTAACCACAAAAATCTTTACTTTGTGTATTTCCTTTTGTCTTTGTCCACATGAATGTGTGTTTTGCTAGTAGATGTAGTGTACACACTTTATAGCCTTCTTTTTCCATTTAATATTGTGTCATTTTTTTTTCTTCCCCAGAGTATTCTTAATTCTGATCTTTCATAGATGCCCAGTATCTCATTGACTAGTCTCTGTTTGTGCTTCAAGTGTTCAATTAGTTTGGGCAATATCATAATGACAGTCTTTGTGTATAGAGCTTAGTTCTTCTGTTAAGATTATTTTCCAAAATAGAGTTTTAATGATTTAGAGTTTTCCCTTTTCTTCATCCTAATCTTAATTTTCAATAACCAGTTCAGTACAGATTTTTTATGTATTTTACTTTATTCATATAACAGCCTTACTAATGCATCAGTCCAGACATACAAGCCCAAGAGTTCAACTGTAATGAATGCCATTAGTATAACTGTAATGTGTAGAAAAGCAGCATCCCAAACTATGGAAATATTATGGCAGAGAGATTGTGATGGCCATAAAAGTTATTTTAGCCTGAAAGTCTGAAACCCCTTTATATCGTTCCCTAGATTTATATTCTTTGAACTTGTATCTTTCATTAACAACTTACAATTCATTCTGTACTTAGTGTTCTTTCAAAATGTTTCTTCATTTTTTCTTCTTTAGTGGTATTACTTATCATTTGATCAATACCCTCCCCTCCTTGGTGTTTAGAATTATTGTTGTTACATTTGTACCTGTCTCCTATGCATTAGTGATCTTTTAAACTTTTCTTTGTGTCAGTGAGTTGGTTCCTGTGGCCAGAGAAAGCTTCTTTTGTTGCAGCATACTCTTACCATATGACCCAGAAATTCCACTCCTGGGTATTTACACTAGGGAAATGTTTGCACAAAAGTATGTACATGAATGTTTATACAGCTTATTCATAATCATTAAAACCTGGAAACAACCCAAATGTCCTTCAGAAGGTAAATGGGTAGATACACAGTGGTATATCTGTACCATGGAATACTACTCAGCAATTAAAAGGAATGAACTATTGATTCACACGACAACTTGGATGAATCTCAAAGGCATAACGCTGAATAAAAGAAACCAGTCTGAAAATATTACTTACTGTGTAATTCTCTTTATATGACATTCTTGAAAAGGCAAACCTATAGTGATGGAGAACAGATCAGTGGTTGCTAGAGTTAGGGGTGGGGGAAGGGAGTGACTACAAAGGGATAGTATGAGAGAGTTCTGGGGGATGATAGAACTGTTCTATGTCTGATTGTGGTGATGGTAACAGGAATCTGTACATGTGCCAAGATTCATAAAACCGCATACGAGGAAACGATCATTTTTATTATATGTTGATTTAAAAAGTAAAAAAAATTCTGTTTTGTCAGACTAGTTTTATGTCCTTTGACAAGTTACTTAACCTCTCTAAATCTCAGTGTATTTGCCTGTAAAATGTGGAAAATAGTCTCTACCTTGAAGAGGTGTTCTAAAGATGAAATATGATGTTAGAAAGTATCTACTTGACATACAGGAGGCTCCTCTTTCTTTTCCATAGTGATTATTTCTCATCGGGGGCAGCTTCTGTTTTGTTTTGTTTTCTTTTGTTATTTGGTTAACTCTTGGGAAACAAATTGGAGCCACTGAAGGTTTTAAACAAGAGAGTGATGTGATCTGATTTTCATTTTTAAAAGCTTGTTTGAGCATCTTTGAGGAGAAGAGATGGTAGGAGGGTAAGAGGGAAGCAAAGAGACCAGTGAAGAGGAATTAGGGTAGTGCAGGTGAGAGACGATGGTGATGTGGACATGGCTGAGAGCAACGGAGACAAGAGGAGTAGGCAGGTTTGGGATTTATTTTAGCGGGGGGAGTAGAGCCAACAAGGCTTGATAATTGTTGGAGAGAGCAGGGAAAGGAAAAAAATCTGAGTTGACTCCTAGGTTTTGCACTCGAGCTACTTAGGTAGGTGGTGGTGTCATTTCCTGAGATGGGAAGTCAGAGAAGGAGCAAATTTGAGTGAGCGGGTAGTAGTGGGCATTGACAACCAAGAATTCTGTCTGGGCATGTTAAGACTGAAATCAAGTAGGCAGTTGGCAGTTGGATGGAGGAGCCTGGAGCCAAGAACCAAGCATTGTTTCCTCATTTCTAGGACTGAAGCACCTCCAGGACTGCAGGTGGCGCTATGAGTCTCCCAGAAGTGACCCTTCCAGACTAGGGTTGAGGGAGCCTTCAGCTACTCTTCCTTTGACCCAGGCTTGAGGTTTTTAGGAGGGTATTTCTCTTTAATCCAATTCTGAGGGAGTTTATAGAAACTTCTGCCAGAACCCAGATTATGCTCATATTATTCACTGCTGCCAGATTTTTTTCCATTTAATGAGATTTAGGGAAAAGGGGTACCCAGCAATTCCAAATACCCAGCCATCTACCTGGAAGTCACCATTCATATTGTGTAAGATTGAAAGGCATTAATAAACTGCTGAGAGTGATGATGTATATGCAAAAGCATGACACTGAATATGCTAAGAGATTCTATTCTAACGTATTTGGTTATTTTTATTATCCTCAAATTTCCAGACAATGGAGGAAAAAAAAAAACCTCAAAGATATCTTTTTCCTTGATAACTACCAAATTCAGGGTAGTGGTTACCTCTGGAAGGGAATGATAGGAATAGAATTTGGGGAGGGGCACAGAGGTCAACTGAATGTGCGAAAAGTTAGAATGCTGTAGAGTTGGATATTGGGTCAATGTGTGTTCATCAGACTCACCTGTGTTTGAAATGTCTTATAATTACAAATTGAAAAAGAATATGTTGTTCTTCAATAACATAAATAATTTAAAAATCTAAACGAGAGAGAATGCTCTTCTACCCCATCCTCATTAATCACCTTAAAGAGTTATCTGTTGGTTCTTTGTCTCAGAAAATGTAGTTACTTTGTAATGAAATTTTAATGCCAAGTTCTATTCTTAAAGTCACTTATTACAATGATAAAGCTATGGTTTAATAGAGTTGCTAAATTTTCTTCTCTTTCTTCTTTTAATATTTTATACTCATCGAATGAGCTGGTGATGATCTGGAGAATTTTTGTTTTCACAAACACAGGACAATTTCTGCAAAAACCCATCATCAGGCTGTGAACTTCAACATCTTTGAGGGCATGGTTTGCCATGGGGTGCCTCTTGTGACTATCTCAAGAGGCAAAGTGGTGTATGAAGCTGGAGTTTTCAATGTCATGGCAGGAGATGGGAAGTTTATTCCTCGCAAACCATTTGCTGAATATATTTACAAACGAATCAAGCAGAGAGACCAGGTGAGTGTGTGCAGGGTACTATTACCCTCGGCTAGGCTGAGCCATCACCCACTCCTAAATGCCTGGTTAGTTGTTGCATCACACTCTAACATATTCCTGGGATGTCAGGATTAATAAGGGATATTACAGGCAAATACCAGTTTTCAAAGAAACACTGGATAGATGCATTTTCCTTTGCAGACTGGTGTCTACTCAGACTTTCGTGACGGACCAAGTCAAGTTTTCCCAGGCAAGTTCACAGCCTTAGGGAGCCATTTGGCAAAAGCCTGGGTCCTCCAAGAAGTGGACATCCAGATGGATGGATAAAGGTGCAAGGTTTTTATTACAGGAAACATCTGTGAGAAAAACTGGGGAGGGAGCTGGGAAGGCTGGGAGAGCCCTCAGACTGCAATGCAAGTCAGAAGGTGAGAGGAAGAGAGGTCGAAAATGTAGGATGGAAGCTTCCTAGATGTTCTCTGTAGAGTTCTTGACGCAAGTCTCCTTTCTCTCTGAAATAGGCCCCTCTTAGAAGTCCCTGGGTGGTGCAAATGGTTAACGTCCTTGGCTGCTAACTGAAAGGTTGTAAGTTCAAGTCCACCCAGAGTCACCTTGGAAGAAAGGCCTGGTGATGTACTTCCAAAAAATCAGCCACTGAAAAGCCTATAGAGTTCAGTTCTACTCTGATAGACATGGGTTCGCCATTAGTCAGAGTGGCAGCTGGTAGTGGTGGTGGTGGTGGTGGAGATAGTATCTCTGCAAGCTCAGTCATTGGTTGGGAGCAGCAATGGGAGGCGTGGCCTCAACACAAACATGGTAATGGAGTTCAGAGCACAGCTGGGCCCTTGAAAAATTACACTCCCTGCAGCTGGAGGTTTGTAAGGCTCTTTCTCAAGGCCTCCACAGCAAGGGTGGACTTTGGGGGTCAGATAGATCTAATCATAAAGTCTACCCTGCCCTCTTCTTTCCTAGCAGTGTGACCATGGGCAAGTTTCTCCGTCATCCCTGGGCTGTTTCCTCTGGAAAATGAGGACAACGTTTCCTCTGTAACAAATTGCTGAGAGAATCAAATGAGATTTAAAAATGTTTAAGGCACATAATAGGAAGTCAGTAAACATTAGTTCTATCTCTGTGCTTTCCCCTTTTGATGAACTAATCTATTATAATGGCCTCAGTCTTTATTTATAATAATTGTATTATTATAAAAATATTTGTTCTTAATATATTTGGGGCTCTCACACACGCTTTATTTAGCTCACGCAGTGTTTTAAGCAGTTTCAGAAGTTCATTTTGTACCCTAAAATAACAAAAGATTTCAGATTAAAATATCTAGATTTCTGGAATTTTGAGGGGCATAGGGTCTCTATGAGTCAAAATCCGCTTGACAGCAGTGGGTTTTTATAGGGTTGCCGTGAGTTGGGATTAATTTCTGCGGCACACAAAAACAACAGCAGGGGGACGAAACCCATTGCCCTCAATCCCACTTGGCAGGAACATGCCAGCCTGCGTGACAGAACCCCTGCAGAAGGTGCACTTTCTGATTTTCACTCAGCAGGCTTCACTCATTTATGCCACTTGTCTGGCCTTGTAGACATTAGAGTTTTTAACCCTTGGATTAGTTCTAAGGCTCTTCTTTTCATTTTCAGACATACCTCTCTTTTTTCAAAGTTCTCTAGCAGTTTTTTAAAATTCTTTTTAGTTGAGTCTTATAGTCTGTTTGATTTCTCCTCTGATGTCTTGTGAAAATTCGTTTACTTGTGGCTTCTCAGAGTCTATTACACAAGATTCATCCATTTTTAGGCACATCCTAAAGCATCGACTAAGTAAATAAGTGCTATAGAACATTTTACATTCTTAGAAATGCTACAGTTCTTTATGTGCTGTATTTCAGTCAGAAGAGATGACATTTAGGTTACAGTTCATTTTAATTTGTAAATGTTGACACTGAAAGGTGACAGGCAGGTAGTGAGGATAAGAATTGTATGTGTTTCTGTAGCAAATTAGAGCAATAGTAACATTTACTGAGGGCTTACTGAATGTAATGCCCGAGGCTAAGGGCCCCAGTCACTGCAACGACCCCTTGAGGGAGGGAGAGATTTATTCCCATTTTAAAGATCAAGAAACTGACGCTTCAGAAAATTAAGAAATGTGCCCAAGTTACACAGCTAGTATATGGCAGGACCAGAACGTAAATCCTGGTTGTCTGACTCCAAAACTGTATACTTAAGCAATCAGCTATACTGCAAATTGAAAAGACTGAGTTAAATGAGGTAATTAGTGATAAATTGCTCAGCACCAGGTTTGGAAAATAATACCAAAAACCAAACCATTGCCATCCAGTTGATTCCAGCTCGAACCCTATAGGGAAGCTCTGCTCTGCCCTATAGGGTCACTGTAAGTCAGAATCGACTTGACCGCAACAGGTTTGGTTTTTAGGTTTTGGTAAGGAGGTAGTAGAATCGACAGAACTGGGTGATAGATTTTGTGACGCTAGAATTAAACCCAGGGTGGGGCCATTCCTGGCAGTTAGTTCCAGTTACCACCAGCAGGGACGCTAGACTAACAGGGAACACCTGATAAATTGTATTGAAATGACTTACTTGTCTAAGACTTCCTCTTGTAGGGAAAATGTTTTGGGCAGCAGAGATCATCAAATGACTGGCTGTATCAGTTCTCCTTTTCAAATTTTTGTTTTGTGGTTTTAGTTTTCTTTTTCCTTTGGCAGAATTAATGTCAGTTTTATTTTTTAAGAGTTGAGTATCAATTCTGTGAATTATTTTAGTTTTTTAGTATTTTCTTCTGGTCTAAGGAGCCTTGGTGGCACAATGGTTAAGAGCTCGCCAGCTAACCAAAAGGTTAGTGGTTCAAACCCACCTGGTGGCTCCTCAGGAGAAACACCTGGTGACCTGCTTCCATAAATATTACAGCCTAGGAAACCCTATGGAGCAGTTCTACTCTGTCTAAGGGTTGCTTTGAGTAGAAATCCACTTGACAGCACCTAACAACAACAACATCAACTTTTTAGGCATTCTAGTGCATTATTATTTTTTTATAATAATAATACTAGTTGTTATCATTATTATCATGTGTTATTCTGAATACTTACTATCTGTCAGGTACTGTAATAGGTGGTTTATAGTCATCATTTCACTTAATCTGCATACTGTTAGATATTAGCTGTTAGATATTGCTAGATATTATCATCCCTGTTTACAGAATAGAAAGCTGAGTATCAGCAAGATTAAGTAACTTTCCCTGAGCTAAGCAGTAAGTAAACGTAAGAGCCAGGATTTGTGATTAAGGCCTTTCTGATTTCTACTGTACCATATGATCTCTGTAGAGATAGAAAAGAGAAGGAAATGATTCTGAAATTCAAATCATGGAGAAATGTATTATTAAAAATTATTAGATGTGGAAAAAGTATCAAATAAAATGAGGAAAATAAGGTTTGGGGATTGTCCAGAGACTTTTCAGTCTGTTATCCATCCTATTAGACAAAGGTAACTTGTAAAATAAAAATATCCCACTAAAGTTAAGAAAAAGAGTTGTTAGGAACTCTAAATTTTAAAGTCATTATGAGTTTTTAGAGCTCTTGCTTTGGTTTTCATTTACAATACTCATATTTCCTTGTGAGTATAAGGGTTTAAAGGCAAGCAGGAATGTCCTATACTATTTCTTCTACTCACCTATTATCCTCCCCCAAGAAAATTAATCACTTCCCATTCAGGACTCCCAAAGCACAGATTATAGAGATATATCAGTGTTGGTCAACTCCAGAATTCTTGGTCTCTTGGCTAGAGTGTTAAGTCCTTAAGGGCAGCATCTTATTCTTTTTATGCCCATAGTAGACATTTGATAAATGCATGAACTGCAAAAGGAAGGAACAAAGGCTATAGTTTCAGAGCTACATAGAAGGGAATTTAAATAAGTGTACCCAGAAGATTTCCTCCTGCCTCATCCCAAATGGTGAGATTATCTTTAAGTTTGATTCTTGTCCATGATTTTATTACTTAATAAAATTTATCAGCTTGAGGCCATGCAGCTATCACTGTATAGCTGTATCAGACGTTGTGAGACGTTTCAAAAGCAAGAAAAGACATTTTTATTTAATTTCACAGCTTTGCAGACTTGTTAATTAATTGATTAATTTTAAAATTTAAACAATTGGTCCCTAAGGGAAAAAATTTAAATCCGAAGATGAGACGGAAAATTTTATTTTAATTAAATAAACCAAAACCAAAAATAGGACATAATAAAACATATATTTCAATTCTATATAAAAATCACTTAAGAAAGAGTGTTGGGAGATGTGGGAAAGAGATATAAAGGGGGTGGGGGGAGTAACAGCAACTTAAATGGTCAAGAGAGTCTTGAAAAAACAAAATCAGCTTACATACTATAAATTCTTTACCAAAAATAATAGCTCTTTAAACTCAAATGGATTAATATTTTTAGAATTTTGTGTGTGTGTGTTTAGAGTGTTATACTTTCTACCAAAATTTGGAAGTGCAGACGTTCTTCAATTCCTCTCTTTTTCTCTTTTTTTTAATAATAAGCAACCCCAACCTATTCTGGAAAATGCGGGTCACATTGAATTTTATAGAGAAACAGGAATAGCTTCATGGAGCAATGTACAGTTTCAGAATACTGCTGCCAGAGCTTTTAAACTGGTTTGTATTTTTGCAACTATAAGCATAATTTGCCTTTCAGATAAGATAAAATTGAGTGGATGGCTGATCTGGTCCTTGAAATGCATGTTCTCCATTTCTGAAATAACAGTTTGTCAATGTCTTTCTCAACGTGGTAGCTCAGAGAAGATAATTTAAGGCACGTCATCAGCTGTCATATAATCCTAGTTTTCACAGGTTGATTGCTAATAATAATAAAATGTAATGCATAGTCTGGAACTGGCTCATACTGGCATGTGAAAGACACTTTTCAACTCTGCATTCAGTGATGTCACTTTGGTAGCTTGAAATCAGCCATGGTGGGAGTATTTACACCACAGAAATAGGCAACTGCTA